ATTTATTTGAATATTGTCAATTTAAATGCATTTTTTTATATTAAATCTTTAAAAGGGGTGAAATTACCAGAAAAAGCGCTAGATGAGAATTTGAAAATGGAAAAGGTTAAAGCGATTCATTAATAGCTATGAAAATGATTATGACTGCAAGAAAGTCACTGCAAAAAACGAAAGAAAAAATAATTTTTAAAAGTTGATTAAATTTGCAATATATTCTAAATAGATGAATGATGCTTATTTTAAATTACACAAAACTGTTAATAAGACAAGAAATAACTAAAAAATAATACAATTTATACTTAAAATGCAACATTAAAGTAATCCACTAACTATTTTAATATAAAATAAATCAAAAGATGAATGTAAACATATATGAAAAAATTAATATATTTTTGATAAACACTTTTACTATTTATTATCAAAAATAAATGTATTATATTATATCAAAAAAATTAATTAAATACTTCAAAATATTATTAAATACTAAAAATACAAAAATAATTGTTGAGTTTATTTATTTATTTCTTACTTAATTGTTAATATCTCATAATATTATGAACAAAATATCTGAATTAAAAATAACATTTTAAAAAATTATTTATATTAATTTAATCCTAACAGAGTAAAATGTAATAAGTAGTGTTTTTTATTTTTTAATAAAAATCAGATTTATAAATATATAAGTGGGGGATATAGGTAGGGGGGTGATATGTCGAATTCGATACTTTTATGTACCCATCTGCAAAGAAAATATTAACAAAAAAAGTTTATAAACTCTTCACTTTTATCTCATTAGGTTCTCCATATTAATTTGAGGTATATTTTATTAATTAATATTATTTTTATTATTTATTAATATTTTTTAAATATTTAACTTTCAATTTATTTATATAAATAAGAAATTATCATGAATGATTACTAATTGATTTTTATTAAAACAAAAATTATTTAGCTATGTCAACTTAATTTTCATTTCAAATTTTAATTAATTATTTATTATTCATATTTTATTATTTTATATTTTTTCTTTATTTTTTGCTATTATAACTTGCACTTAATAAAAGCAGTTTATTTCTTTTGGATTGTAATATTTTAATAATAAAAGTTAATTTAAAACATTAAAGCTCTTTTAATTTATTTGATTTATTTTCCTTTTTATTTTTATTCTGATATCTTTTTTTTTTCATTCTTAGTTAATTTTACTAATTATTAATTAATCTTATTTCATATTTTTTCTTCATTTTTTCCTTCTAAATAACTATATAATGATATTTTTTTTCAAAATCTAAAAAGTGGAAATTAAATTGGTGATACATACATACATACATACATACTCGCACATGGTGACATGCACTCGGGATAGGGGCCCTATATATAATTACTTATACATTATTATTATACGTATACCAATTTATTTATATATAATTGTGGGTAATATATTAGAAGGGAAGGGTCACCTACACCCTAATGGCATTTCTACTAATCTTCCATGATTTGACTACGCATTATGCTCGCTTCCCATTTGTATTCCAGATCTTCTGTTCAGAATGGGGCCTCCTCTTTACCACCTATCAGATTTGGCCCTTCCCTCCTACCAAGGAGACCGCTGGTAACATTCACATTTTTACATGGAATTTTTCGAAATAAAGGGGGCGGTATAGGATTCGAACCCCCGATATCACTGCTAAGACCCTCCGACTCGCCCACTCGAGTCGCTTAGCCCTTCTTTAAATTGGTGATGAAGGCGCATCAGGCTTAGGTTCTGCCTTAGCAAATTGCATTAATCTCTCAAATTTGACACTTAATCTTTAGTAAAAAACAGTTTATTTGTTTTAGATTGTGAA